CTCAAGGTGTGCAGAGTTCCCAGTTTCAATGGGACGAGGCTCTGTGGGGCCTCCATCTCCATCCCTGCAGGAGAAGAGCGCCGGTCCCTTCTTGGGAGCACAGCAGGGCCCTTGGCCCTTGCAGCCGGTAGGGCCTGGGCCTCACGCAGGAGCCACTGTGGCTTCCTCTGCTCGCATCCTCTCCAAGTGCAGGGCAGAGGAGTCCATCCAGCGATGGGGGTCAGGCAGAGTCAGCAGGCACTGACCCGTGGGGAGGTGACAGGCTGCTGCAGGTAACAGCTGTTTTCCTAGCTCTCCAGGAGCCAAGGCCAGGAAGGGTGCTGCAGTCGCTACCTACGGTGTCCCTGAGCCTGCGTGCAGGTGTGCGGTGTCTGCCTGTAGCGGTGGCGCGTGGACAGTGGGCTCCTTGTCTGCGGCTGGATGCCTTATCTTCAGACAGGTGACTGGCCAGAGGAGGGCCGGCTGCCTTTGTTGTCTTTGTGGCCCAGCACAGCTACACACCCACGCAAAGCCCCCGCCAGCCTCCCGCAGCATGTCCTGACCTTTGGTGTCCATGGGAGGCCACTAGCACCAGGGCTGCCCTGCCCACCGTGAGAAAGCATGTGTTCCCAGCAAGTAATGCTTTTCCAAAAGTGCCTCTAACGGAGGGCTGTAGTGCCCTGGGCTGTGGCTGTGGAGGTTGTAGCCAAGGCTGACAGAGCCTGAGGCTCTGACCTCACTGGGAAGCCTCAAAGAACCCAGGCTCCTCAGCCGCGAGGCCAGGGCCAGCCCACACCCTGCACACGCAGGCAAGGCCCACAGCGTGGCCCGGGGTCAGGCAGTGGGCAGACAGACAGGAGGATGCTGGAAGCTGCAGCGCTGGGACTGGCGTGGCAGTCCCGTGTTGCTGGGTTAATGGAAACTGCTTTGTTTGCAGGGCTGTCATCTCCCAGCCTGGCCAGTTCTCCAGGTGGGACTATAGTGCAGTGACCCCGCTGCTGCTCAGACACCTGCTGGGCGTGGACTGCAGGAGTGACGGGGACAGCAACAGCCAGGAGCTGCTGGCTCCTGGCCGGCCGGGCAGTGTGGATGGGACGGGACGGGCAGGGCTCTGAGCTGGACAGGCCAGCCCAGACAAGCTGCTCCGGTTCTCATTTGGTCTCTTGAAGCTGCAGTGAAACTAAGGAATGGAGCGTCCTTACATCTCATTCTAAAATTGAGTGTACGGAGGTCTCACGTATACTGCATACACACATACACACCGCGGGGAATGCCCCACGGGCAGAGGCCCTCGGCTGCTCTGCAGTTCTTCACTGCCCCCGCACTGGTGTCGTCCCTCTTGGGTGCTCAGTGCCACCTGGGAGCACCCGGACAGAACGCTGTTGCTTTCTAACTCAGATCTCTGATTCAGGAAGACACGCTGCAATCACAGATTTTAAAAAATTATTTGCACTGAAAATAGTTTAATGCTAATAAGTGACTAACTTTGAATATGGATGTAGAGGGCCCCTGAACGTCCCAGGCAGGGCCTAAAGAGCCCTTCTCATGTTAACATTTAATAAATTGTTTCCAGCGCAGTCAATTCTGTATCATATTGTATAAGTAATGTAAGTCTCCAATTGGAGGAAACAGTTAAGTTCACCATTAATGTTCACTATATGACTGATATTTCTGACTCACAAAAACATTAAAACTGTCTTGAATACACTAGTTGTTTTACCTTCTCTTAACTCGGCTTAATTGTGGGTGCAGTCCTCGCTGTATGCTGGGGGACTGCTGCCACTGCGAGGCTCACACGGAAGCGCGAGGTCCTTGCCCTCACCATAGCCTTCCCAGCCTGCGGCCCGGGACAGTGGCCTTCTGTGCAGGACAGTCCTGGCCACGCTGCACCGTTTCCGGGGTGAGTGCAGAGGATGCCGTGTATACGGCCCTGCGACGCCAGGGCCGAAGCACGCCTCGGGCCAAGCTGAGCAGCTGACCACGCCCCAAAACCAAAGAAGGGCGAGCGTGCACCACGCGCTCAGTGCAGAGGGCCTGGGGCCGGGCCTGGCACGTCCGAAGCAGTCACAAGTGGACGCTTAGCACCCGGGCCTTGCACGGCGAGGCCCAGCCGGCGGAGGTGACTGCGCGTCGCGGGTGCCGCAGCCAGCTGCTGACGCCACCGAGAGCGCCGCAGACTAGTGAGTCTGTGCGACAGCGGCAGGTTGGGGCTGAAGGGATACGGGTTTTGCATGTGCCGAGGCAGGATGGTGTCGAAGCAGCACAGGCCCAGCTGGGCTTATCTTCAGTCCCTCCTGGTTCTGGAACTGCCCCGTCCCAAACCCGAGGCGAGCCCACTCGGAAGCGGCCTCTGCGTGTGGCCTCCTCAAGGCCCCCACATGATGGTGAAGGACCCTAAGACTTGCTGTTTTCTGGTTTTGAGACTGGGTGTGGCTGTGTTAGCCAGGTTGGTCTCACACTCGTGAGTCAAGTGATCCTCCTGTCTCGGCTTACTAAGTAGCGATAAGCAGGCATCACCATGCCTGGTGGAGACTTGCTGTTTTAGATGATCAGAATTTATATGTCATACACTTCCCGAATAACCTTACAAGTACTGGCACACTTTAGGTAACATGGCGTTTCTGTCACCTTGGGCAAAGCACAGAATACCACGTGTGGTTTGGAAATACCGGGGAAAAGGTTAGCACATAGGGCCCTCCAGTGATCCCCTACTTCCTGCCTCCATGCTAAAGTACCTTGGATCAGGTGACCCAGGCGCATCCGCAGCTGTCACTGCTCAGCAGTGGGGGCTCAGGTGTGAGTCCTCATGGCCTTGAGCAGCCCACGCCCATCTGCCCTCCTCAGCGTGCTGTCTACACTGGCAAAGGAAACATGGGCTGCAGCTGGGATCTGGGCCCACAGCATGCTGGGAGGAGGTGGGGGTGAGGCTGTGACATCAGCTCAGCCCCAGCCACCTGTACTGTGTCTTCTCGGTCAGCTCCAGGACTGGACAAGAACGTGGAGCCCTGTGTCCTGCTGCGGCCCCAGGCCAGGCCAGGCCAGGCCAGCCCTGGAAGGGCGACTGGTGAGGGCCCGGTGCCCAGCGGTCACAGCTGCTGCTAGTGCAGCAGTCCTGGAGCGCAGCAGTGACAATCCCACCACGGAAAGAGCTTCAGTGACCACCTGGGCTTCGCCCTCAGCCCAGACGCACCCACACACACCCCCCTGCTAGGCTGGGGACTCAGCAGGGACAGTGAGGTGGCAGCCAGCTGGGTTCACCTCCAGCAAGGGCTGGGTGCTGACACTGGTGGAAGAAGCTGAGGCTGACGCAGCCTGAGCCCTCACAGGTCGTGGGCAGCCATGGCGACAGGAGGGAGGCGGCAAGCTGGGCGGCAGTGCCTATAGACCACGCATGTTCCCACGCAGGCAGAGGCTCGCGATGCGCACGCACCACACCAGCAGCGTTTGCAGGATGCACAGCCTCGGGCCCTCTCCTCCGGCACACTCCCAGGACTTGGATCCCATCCTCCCAGCCAGGGCCCACCATGGTTCAGGTGAGTTTCCAGAAAGCAGGTCTGGCCCATCCCCCAGGTGCAAACTGGCATCTGAGCCTCCTTCTGGGCCTGAATCTGCTGGGCCCATGGTGGCCAGGGCCATTGCTGCCCTCTGCCTCTGGATGCCAGCGTCCACCCTTCCATACCACACGGGGCCTGGGTTGGGGCCACTAGAGCCCTGGAAGACAGGGTTGCAGAGGTGTCTGCAGAGGCAGCGGGAGATGCAACACCGATCAGAATAGTCCTGTAAACTTGTGAGACCAGATTTTAAAAATCTCAATTCTATCTAGGTGGCCTCCTGGCAACGAGAGGCTTAGCAGAAGCTGGGGGCATGGCTCCCCCATGCATAAGCAAGGCCCAGGCGTGACCCGCAGCATGGGAAAAAAGGGGGGGACTGGGGAGACAGGTGCATGCCTGTAATCCCCGCTGAGATAGGAGGATCACTAGGAGTCCAAGCTGTACAGCGAAACCCTGTACCAAATAAATAAGATCAAAAATAAAATTTTTAAAAGTCACTTCAAAAAAGGAAAAGGAGACCGTGTGTGGTGGCGCACACCTACAATCCCAGCACTTGGGAGGCTGATGCAGGACGATCACCTAGCCAGAGTTCAAGGCCAGCCTGGGCCAAGAAGTGAGCTCTAGGCCAGCCTCAACTGCATAGTGAGACCCTGTCTCAAGAACACAAAAAAAGAAAGAAAGAAAGTGGGAGCTCGGCGGGTCTCCAGCCCTGTCGCCTTCCAGGCCCTCTCACAGGGAAGCCCAGGGAAGCCATGTCCCATCCTGAATGTGTTTTCACTAGCCAACAGGCCAGGCCCGGATGACTCACAAAGCTGATGTAAGGAGGGGGTGCCGGGCCTGGGCCACACCACAGATGCGCAGGTGCAATCTCTAACTCAGCTTGCTCTTTAATAGGAGTCGGGGTCCCCAGCGGTGCCACTGTGAGCTGCCAGCCTGGGTCACTCATGTGTGACAGGCCTCTCGCCTTATCTGACTGGATTCATAAACAATTACCAAATACCCCTGCCCCTAGTCATGCTGTAGAAATGAATGAGACCCTGGGGTGGGGCCTTTACAAATGCCCTGGACAGGAGGGGACACAGGCAGCAGGAGCCTGAGGGGTCATGACCGTGGCTGCAGTGACCCGCACTGTCACCAGAGGCCTTGGCATCCTGAGCAGGGTCAGGCACCGGCAAGACCCAGGCAATGTCACACTGCTCAGTACTTGAGTCCTTCCGGTCAATCGCAGGTAGGCGACACTGCGGCAGGGCCGGCTTGGGGTTCTGTGTGTCCACCTGCAGGAGGGAGTCACAGGTAGAGGTTTGGGCGGCCACCGCCCTGCCTTGCTGGGAGAAGGGACACACCGACTACCTTCTTACAGGCGCCCCTGAACTTTAGGGCTCTCAGAGCGGGGCTGGGGCGCGAAGGCAGCGTGGTCATGGTTGACAGTTGCAGAGGTGGCAGCTCCCTCTCGCTTCCGGGGCGCCTTCTTCCAGCAGAACAGGCTTGGGTTCCCTTGTGTTCTCTCTACAGGTTCCCCTACTCTGTGCTGAGGTCCCCCAAGCCCATCCTGCCTGCTACGGAACAGCTCAAGTTTCACAGTCCACGAAAGGTTTGTGAACTCTGATGGCAGTCTACCCCCAGGGCTGGCTACTGGGCACAGCCACACCACAGGAGATGCCACAGCCCACCAGGGAGCTCCAACAGGACTGAGCCACCCCAGGGAGGGCCTATGCCTAGAGTCTGAGGCTGGCTCTGGGAAGAAGGCCACCAGGGCAGGAGGGGACAAGCAGATTGGCAAGGGTACCACTGGGGGTCTGCAGCCCATGGGTCCCTTGGGAGCCACAAAGAGCACTGGAGGGACTTTTCCATAGGGGCTCAGGGCCAACCCAACACAGCAAAGCACACAAGGCCAAGCGCCAAGTGAATGTCTCCCTTCTGAACAGCAGGTGACAAAGTGATGCCCTCCCGAGTTGGTGCTCACAGCTGGGGGTGGGCAAGGAAACAGGCAGAGAGCTCCAGCTGGGGTTCTCACGGAGCCCCTGCCGGAGCCATCCAAGGGCAATGCTGGATATGTCCGCAGAGGACTTGGACACAGAGAGGACCTGCATGTGACCACCGGGCCAGGCACACAGACTTGTGGCAGGGCCCCCTCCTGGGCTGGCCCCACAGGATGCAGGTTGTGGATGCCCACTTGGTTCCCCATGCTCTAAGCCGGGGTGGAGACGCTAAGTGGCACAGTGCCTGGCCTCAGAGGCAGACCTGACCTCCTGCTGCACCACAGCCTCCCCACCAGTGTCTCCAGACCCAGGCCACAGGTCCACGGGTCTCAGGTCTACCTGCTGGCTGCCCTCCGGGATCTGCCACTTGTACCCCAGTGGCTCCGGGTGCTCTGGGAAGGCCACATGCCTGCGGCTGGCCCAGGCCTGCTTCTCAGCCACCCTGCAGAGGACGACATGGTGGCTGTCCTTCCATGGCCTCCGTGCCACTGAAGAGGACCTGCCTCTGGGTGAGCAGCTGCAGCACTTCTTCCCATGAGTGACCACGACTCAGTGGGGAGGTCACGTGGCCTGCAGCACCTCAGGGATCAACTGCCACCGGACAGTCATCCACACAGGGGACAGGTGGTAGAACTGTCTGGGCACCAGGGCCACCAGGAGCTCACACCACACCCACAGGATGCACAGAGGCCCTCACAGGCACCCACTGCAGCCCTGTACCACCCACCCGCACCCTGCAGTCCCCAGCCCTACGCACCCATCTGGGGAGGGTGCTCGCCACGGAACACAGAGCCGTGTCCCAGGCTTGGCCCATGGCCCCTCCTGCTGCAGGCCCCACCCACATGGGCAGCACGGGGCCCCTACCTGTGCTCCTGGAAGTAGGGGTGCTGCAGGGCCTGGTGCGCAGCGATGCGCTCATCTGGGTCGTAGGCCACCAGTGCGTGCAGGAAAGAGAGACACTTCGGGGATAAACTGGCTGTAGGGAGAGGAATTCCTGACCCCTTTTTAAAAGGAAAATCAAAACTCATAGCTCCTGACCTGCATTGAAAGCCCAACAGTAAACGATCATGCGTCATGTGGAGCCGGTCACCGTCGCCACCCGCCTCTGAGAGACCCATGCCTGGGAGAGGCCCTGCCTGTGTACGCAGAGTGCCAGGAGCAAGCTAGAGCGGGCGACGCAGCGGCTTCTGCAGGGAGGCCGGGCACATGGCCAGGCATGGAGGTGCACGCCGGGAGGCTGAGGCAGGAAGGCTGCGAGTTCACGCCCACCCTGGGCAACTTACCAACTTCGTGAGACTGTCTCAAAATGAAATTTTAAAAATGAGGAGGGTGTATGTGGAGTCTTTATGTTATAAATATAAGAAAGCTACCTCTCCTATGAAAGATTAATATTACTTTCTCATCTGAGAATAGGGCTGAAGGAAACGAAAAAACCCCAAATCCCAAGTCTACAGACCGCGATCTGCATCCTTCCGGGACCCTGGGACTTCTGGGGGTCCCCTTGACCTACAGAAGTCCTCATCTCCGAGCAGAGCAAAACCCTAGGTCGACCGAGACATCACAAGCCACCCAAGCCCAGGATGCGCGCCGGCCTCCCACGTGGCCTGTGCCTGGAAGCTCCGCTCCCCGAGCGTTTCAAGGCCTGTGTGAAATGCTGGGGACAAAACCCAACTCCCAGGTCCCCAGACAGATGCTGAGGACTTTCTGGGGTACTCGGGGAGGGAAGACCAAGGCTTTGGCAGACATGGCAGTGCACACCCAGAGCCCTACCACTCTGGAGGCTGAGGCAGGAGAACCCTAAGTACAAGCCCAGGCTGGGCAACTTAGCCACTAGGTGAGACCCTGCCTCAAAATGAAATAAAAAGGACAGCAAGGCCTGCAGCCACACAGGCTGGCTCAGGCCGCGGAGCCCCCCAAGGCAGCAGAGCCCAGTGAGTGGCTGAGGCCCCAGGACAGCGCGCCTGCGCCAGGCCTGCTCTCTGGGCCCAGCGCTTACTGCTTGAACTTGTTAAGGGTCTTCGGAGCAGGCGTGCCAATGACGTCATGGATTTTTGAGATCTGGTCCAGTTCATTTGCCCCAGGGAAGAGGGGCTGCAGGCTGGGGGTGACAGGGGTAAGTGCTAGCATGGACTTCAAGCTTTTCCTAGCTGGCTCCTTCCCTGTGGCCACCCCCAAGCCCCGCAGGGAAACTCAACAGTGGCCACACAAGGTGGCCACACCAGCTGCCACCAGCCCCACAGAGCTGTGTGACCAAGTACAGGCAGTCAGGTCAGTCTCAAGAACAGACCTGTAAGAGATTTTAGACCTAGGGAGATGCAGTGCGCATTGTGTGTCACCGTGAGGCACTTAGAGTGCTCCGGTGTGGCCTGGCCTGCACCTGCCCCCCGCCTGCAGTGACAGGAGAAAAAGGACGACTGGGTAGGTGGCATGGCTCCAGTGCAGGGTCCGAAGTGCCCTTCCCGGCTCACGCCAAGCTTCAGCATGTAAAGCAGAACCCAGGGCTACAGTGAAGTCGCCACTCAGATTTGCAAAGTGACAAATCGTTCATTATGAGCCATGGGCTGCCCCTGTGCAGCGGGACAGGGAAGCCACAGGTCCTTGCCTGTTCCGGGGAGGCCACAACTCTCAGGGACGCCTGGGGGAACGTGGGGGCTGGGGCTGGGACTGCTGCCCGAGGTACCTTTGTCCTCAACCTGGTGAGTTAAGCAGAGCCTCTCACCCCCCCAGGATCCCAGAGGCCTCGCGGAGGTGGCCAGATGTGGCCTCTCTGTTTAAGACCTGTTTGTCTGTCTCTCTCATTATCAAGCCCAACAGAGGGACCCTGCCCACCACCAGGGCCTGCTGGCTCCATGGACAAAACAAGCAAGGAAGATTTATGGAACAGTTACTCTGCTGAATTAAGAACTAGAAGGAAGTGGAATGCCTGAGTCTGGGGTGCTGAGTTCACAGGCATGAGGCAGCCTCACCAAGGCGCCGAGCAGGGCCTGATCCGTACCTGGCGATCTCGTAGAAGACACAGCCCGCGCTCCACAGGTCCATCTTGGAGGTGTAGAAGCCGTCAGTGAGCAGGCACTCGGGGGCCCGGTACCAGCGGGTGGAGATGTACTCAGTGTATGGTGGCCTGGAGTAGACACTGTGGCACGACCCGAAGTCCCCGAGCTTCAGGATGTCCTGCTGCAAAACAGAGGACCAGGTTGTCTTGTCTCCTGTCACACGGGCAGCCCAGGTGCTGAAGTGAGATGTGCGATGAGGCTGTGTAGGTATCAAGGATGGGGACACATCTACTCTGGCGGAACTGGAAACACCTTCCCACAAGGCCACATCCTGGTGCGGGACCCTGCTCAGGCCCAAGTGTCGTCCCGCTCCAAGGCTCTCTCAGCAGGTAGCCCCAGAGAGGTGCAGGGACGCAGTGCAAGGCACACTCTACATGTGGGTGGCAAAGGTGGCTTCAGAGTGACACACCCTCAGCTGTGACGTTCGACCCCACCCTGCCTTGAGCCCGGCACCTGCGGCACGAGTGCTGGATGGGCTATATTTCCATCCACAGTGTGAGAGGGAACAGCACACCCCTGCAGGCAGGACTATCCGGAGAACATTCGCTCACTGAAACTTCTAAACTCTGAGGGAAAAAAACCTACCAGAGCCACGCTTCCCAGTGCTCGGGAATTGGAACCTTGATCCTGAGAAAGGCTTTATGTCCACATTCATCCAATATCAGGTTTCCTATAAACTCTTACCTTTATGAGTATGTTTTCTGGCTTCACATCTCTGTGGAATATCCCGTTTCTGTGGGGTACGAAGGGAGAGAAGCCGCCAGGCCACGCTCTGCGGCGCGCTCGCCGCGCTCCGGCGCTGCCGCACCTGTGCATGTGGTCCAGGGACTTGCACCGCTGGCGCATGTAGCGCATGACCTTCCTCTCCGAGAGTGGGCGCCTTCTCCCTGTGCAGCCAGGGGTGGAGGAAACTGTCACCGGTGCTGCCTACCCCGTTTTGAAATAAAAAATACGTCCCTTCTTACCTAACAATATGGGAAAATCTAAGTTCCTGTGAAAAACCATGTGCAACAGTCCTAGGCACACGGAGTGCCCAAAAGAACATGCCACCAAGGCCTGTACCCTGGCCCAGCTTCATCTAGGCACCCCTGCATGACACAGGGACACGGCTTGGCCAGGCCCCCGTGCCTCCTATAGGCCACGTCTTCCCGTCACGTGAGCTCTTCACGTTACTCTGAGATGAGGTCTTGCTAGGTCGCCCTGGCTAGTCTCAGACTCCTACGCTGAAGTCATCCCTCCGCCTCAGCCGCCTGAGTAACGGCTGCCGCAGGCGTGTGTGGTGGCTAGCCTCTGGTTATGCTTAACGCAAGCCCCTCTGCTTGCTTCGGGATCCGCAGTTCACGCCACCTTCTCTTCACTGACTGACTGATTCACTGATTTTCAGATAGGCCCTCACTATGTAGCCCATGTTGGCCTCCAATTCACGGTGACCCTCCTGCTTCAGGCTCCTGGGTGTTGGGATCATAAACCCCCATCTGTGCTACCTCTTTTCAAAGCAGATGACATTAAGCTCAGTGCCCAGCAGCAGTGCCATGCCCTGGCAGCCAGCCAGCGCCTCTGCCTCAGCGTCCTGCTGTGTTCCGAACCTTCAGCCCTCTGCGCGGCACATGTCCCAACTCAGTTTCAGTGCTGTGTGTTTTTAGTGTTGCTTCATTTGCTATAATACTGGGGACTGAACCCAGGACCTTCATGCCAAGCCACGACCCCAGCCCTTTTTAATTTTCTTCATCTATTTTTTATTTTGTCTTTTATGTAGCCTGTGCTGGCTCACACTTGTGCTGCTGCCCCAGCCTTCCAGACTGAGGTTACAGGCGTGCCACACTACCATGGACTAAGTGCGCAGATTGCAAAGGTGCACAATGACCACGGTCACTTAACAATTCAGAAACCCACTTTGCCCTCCCTGAACACATAGGTCTAGGCTTATAATTTATCTTGGCAAATAAACATGTTCTTTTTTTCCTCTGCATAACTATGTTTACAACATGCAGACAAAAGAAAGTAATTAGGCAGGCATGGTGGTGCACATGTGTACGCTCAGCACCCGGGAGACCAAGGCACGAGGATTACTGCAAATCTGAGGCCAGGCTGGGCTACACAGTGCGACCCCACCTCAACAATAACAAAACAACAACGAAATTTAAATTGTAAGACACCAAAGTACACTTAGCTTCTTCATGGCCTGCGATCACTTTTGGCTCTGTTTCACATTATTTATTAGCAGTCTCCCAGAATCACACCGAAGACGTGGCCAGCCTTTCCGCACATAGCCACTGAGCAGCCCTGCCCCACCCCGCTTGGGGCAGGAGGGCAGGGAAAGGTCTGGCGGCCACAGCTGGGCACCCCGTCTGCTGAACATCCTAGCCAATCAAGGAGGCTTTCCCTGCCTGCTCCCTGGTGCCATGGGGACCTGCAGCCCACTGCTGTGTCCCAGGGTCCCCAAACATGCCCCCACACTCGAAGCTCAGAGCACGAAACTGGCTCCACAGTCATCTGAACCAGAACTGGGAAAGGCAGACGGTTAGAGCGTCTCACCTGCCCATCTTCAAGGCCACTCAGGAACCCTGGGAACAGCAGATGCCAAGGTGGCACACGCCTGTAATCCTAGCACTTGGGAGGCTGAGGCAGGAGTATCACCCTGAGTTCTAAGCCCGCCTGGGCTCCCTAGTGAGACCCTCTATCAAAAACCAAGGGGCTGGAGAGATGGCTCAGTGGTCTAAAGCACCTACTTAGAACAAGCTAAGCAAAGCACAGGGACCTCGGTTCGATCCTCCAGCACCACATGCCAGCCAGCCCGCCCCCTGGTGGGCTGAGCTGGCCACACACACACACACAATAAATAAATGTAATAAATAAAAATAAATAAATATTTAAAAAAAAAAAGAAAAGAACAAAAACCAAAACAAACAACAAATAATTTATAATCTCTCCAAAAATGTCATCTATAATGCCAGTAACAGTGTACAACTTCTTGTGGGGTACAGCAGCTCGGGCCTCTGCTTCTAATGCCTCTGAAGGCTGGGACAGGAAGCTTACAAATTCAAGGTCAACCTGGGAAGCTGTGAGACCCTGTCTCAAAATAGAAGCAAAAGAAAAGGGCTGCAGATATAGCTGGGGGCTGGGGGCTGCTTGCCTGGCGTAAGTCGCTGCCACAGCTTTGTCCCTGCAGCCCATCTGGCACACAGCGCTCAGCGAACCTGCCTAGGCCTGGAGGTACCTGCCAGGCTCACTGCCTGAGAGAGGGGCCGCTGCCCCCGCCCCAAGACCAAATGCTGCTCTGGAGGGCACAGTTGGGCATCAGGGATGGCGTGGACCTGGCCACACTAAGTCCACGCCCAAGGCAGCGGCAGGAGAGACGAAACTCCACCTCTTTTGTATACACAAAGTGCACCGTGAAACCAAAGATTGAACAGAACTCTCCACGAGGGTGAAATTCACACTGCTAAGCGATAAAGCTTCGCATCTCAGCTCAGCTGCTAACAGGTCCTCTTTCCTGCCAGCACACACAAAAGGCGCATCCTACCGTCAGTGGGTCAGATCTGATGAAATATAAAAGTGCCACGGAATTAGTGGGACTGTAATGCACCCCAGCACCCGGAGGCGGGGCGGGAGGCCTCGAGCTTAAGTCCAGCGTGAGCACGAAACAGAACAAAGACACTGACGTCACCGAGCAGAGCAGTGCCTGCGAGGTTTCTGCGTCACTACGCGCGACAAGGCAGGACGCGGAGCTCTTTGTGGGAGGGAGTCCCAGGTAGCAGTGACAGGCAATCACGCCTTTATTTTTCCATTTGTTCACAGCCCAGTACTGTGACTCATTTCAGGCCACCTGCCCCAACTGCAGCCGGGACTGGAGCCACCCAGGGCTCTGGGGGTCTGCTGGACGTGGACCAGGTGGGGAGTGGGGCACGGGACCATGTGGCCTCGAGCCAGGCAGGGGCCGCCCTGGGGCCTCCAGCTCCCAGCTGGGGGGTTATCCCCGCCCTAACTCCAGACTCCCCTTTCCTGCCACTGTGGGAGGTCACATAATCCCAGGGTCCCCAGCCCTCAGCGTCACCAGCTAGACAGCGAGCTCAGCCTACAGCCCACTTCCGGGCTGCACATTAGCCCGTGTGTGCACAGAGGACACACGCGTGTGCACACAGAAGACACGCATGTGCACAAAGGACACACAGGCTAAAGAGAAAAGTGTAGGGCAGGGCGAGGACCACCAGAGCACCAGTAACACACGCCTGCTGCGGCAACTGCCTGGGCTCCCCACTGCTCCAGGGACTGCAGCCTCCATCCAGACTGCTTGAACAAGCCAGCAGGCCCGTGAAGGTCACTCCTGACAAGCCTTCTCTGTCATGACTGTCCTGAATGGCATTTTTAAAAACTGCAGCAGAGGTGAAGCGTGCTGTCTAGGCTGGCCTCAAACTCCTGATCCTCCTGCCTCAGCCTCCCAAGCGCACTCGGCCGGATTCCCTTCCTGTGCTCTCTGGCCTCTGGGGCACCCGTCTGCTGGGCCTGCAGTGCCTGGGCAGCGTCTGCAGCCCACTCCCTCCCGGCCACACGGCCCTGACCCAAAGGGTCCCGCAAGAAGTCATGCTGAGCCCGCAGACACACATGGGAGTTGGCAGAGGGTGCGGCACAGGCTCTAACTCCATGGCACATGGAGGGCCCAGCCCCAAGGCAGCTCCTCCCCCAGCAGAGATCCACAGGGGTTCCACCCATTTACAGACAGCAGCTTCTGCCAACCTTACCTACTCCTAGTGCTAGTGATGTGCAATCACGTAACGTAAGCCATGCAATAAGATAACTTGCTCTGTGTTCTCTATCCGTGACTTCAACCAACTTTAGCTTGAAAATGGTTTTGTAGGGCTGGGGAGATAGCTTGGCAGTCACAAGGACCTGGGTTTGATCCCCAATACGGCATACCATGCCAGCCCGGGGTCCTCAGGTCCCCAGGTGCGCTGTGCCAGCCTCAAAACCAGGTGTGGTGGTGCACGCCTGTAATCCCAGTGCTGGGGAGGGTAAGATAGGAGGCTCACTGAGTCCAAGCTGTGTAGCGAGAGCCTGTATCGAAGAAAGAAAGACACAGAGAGACAGAGAGAGAGAGAGAGAGAGAGAGAGAGAGAGAGAGAGAGAGAGAATGACAGAGACAGAGAGAGACAGAGAGAGACAGAGAGAGACAGAGAGAGACAGAGAGAGACAGAGAACAGTTCTGTATTTGTGTCCATACTCAACATGTTCCCACTTTCTCCTCATCACTTCCTAAACAATGCAGTGTAACAACTATTGTTTGTTTAGGGTTTTTTTGCAACAGGACCTCAAGGCTGCCCTTGGACTCTGGCAGATCCTCCTGATCTGCCTCAGCCTCCCCGGAGCTCTACACCATGCACTTACCCATCATTACCGCACTATGTTGCTGCGTGGCTTAGAGAACGACAGCGGAGCACATGTGAACCACAAGCTCCAAAGAAGACCGGAGGGGAGCTTTCCAAGTGCTCTATGTACCTCGGATGAGCTCATAAATATTCATGTCCATAAGCTCACATATTAGTGCAAGAGAACCGGACTTCCTGTCACTGAAGAAAAAAGCAGACTTTTAAAACATTTTTCCTCCCTTTAGTCATAAAAAATAAACAAATATTTAATTCATTTGTAAATATTTCGGGTAAATGTATAGCAGTCCTACATCAGGAGAAGAGGGTACAGTTATGAAACAGTACAGGTTTGTATTTTCAATCAATATTTCAGCTAAAATTAATTTAAAATGCCAGAAAACCCTATGTTAATATTCTAAAAGGTTTTTTTGGGGGGGTATTTAGGACAGAGTCTACAGGGTCTCACTGCATAGATCGGACTCACAGTGATCCTCCTACTTACAGCCTTCCAAGTGCTGGGATTACAGGCATGCGCCACCATGCCCAGTCTCAATCCACTGTCTCAGTGCGCCCTGGGGCCAGGCCGGCATGGCAGGCTTGGGGACTGAACTTCTGGCCCCTGCATCTGCCTAAGCAGCCTTTTTGTTTTGCTGCTTTTTTTGAGACAGGAACCCACTATGTCTTCCAGGCTGATCTTGAACCTGGAGCAACCTTCCAGCCTCAGCCTCAGCCTCAGCCTCCTGAGTTCTAGACATGTAACCAACACACCTGGCTAAAAACCCTTCTTGAAAGAAGCTATGCTTTTTTTTTGTAGTTCTTCATTTTATGTATTTGGTACAGGGTCTCACGAAGCAGCTCAGACTTCTAGTGATCCTCCTGTTTTCAGCCTTCCAGGGGATTACAGGCGTGCACCACCGTGCCCAGACTTGGTCACCAGCTCAGCGCACCCCAGGGGCAGGGCCGCTGCAGCGCACAGGACAGGGATCGAACCCTCATCCCTGAGCTTGCCAAAGCAGGTGCTTAGTCCGCTGAGCTATCTTGCCAGCCCTGAAAGAGGTATGTTTGAAAATACAAAGTTAGGGCCTGGGAGATAGCTCAGCAGCATGAGCCCCTTCCTGCCTGCCTGGCAAGTACAACGTCCTAAATTCAATCCCTGGAGCTGCAAAAAGGTAAGAAATTTAAAAAAAAAAAAAATTAACTACTAGAAGAGAGAGAAAAAGAGGCCTGAGAGTTAGCTAAGCAAAACATCAAAGAAAACGGGTCGAATTCGTGCTCCCTGGTCACGTGCTCAGTTCTCATCTCTACACTGTGCACCCTGCACAGAAGGCCCTACACCAGGCTCGGGAGCTCGGGGCAGGCCTTCAAGGAGAAGGCTCCTGGGGCCAGGCCTTCTCGTCCTCTCTTTTTTCTAGCTGAACAGAGGAACTTTGCACTCCTAACATCCCAGCACTTCAGGAAACCTTTTTTTTTTTTTTTTTCTTTCTTTCTTTCTTTCTTTCTTTCTTTCTTTCTTTCTTTCATCTTTCTTTCTTTCTTTCTTTCTTTCTTTCTTTTTTTTTTTTGTCTGCTCTGATACAAATGTGACAAAAGAAAAAGTGAGGCGCAGCACCAGCAGCCAGGAGGCAGAGGAGGGAGAACCGCTGGCATCAAGGCCGGCCGGGCTGCCGCGCTGCCGGGCTGCCGGGCTGCGCGGCGCGCTCAAAGCGCGACTGGACTGCGTGGCAAGTCCCTGTCTTAAAACACCTAAATCGAATAAAACGAAGTGAAGCCTGGTGCTCCCGAGCTATGCAGCGATATGTAAAGTGTCCACCATGCGGTGCCTACAAAGCGCTCGCCCAGCAGCGCTTGGCACACTCACAAGATCACCTCGTGCAGCGAGAGGATGTTCGGGTGCGGGTTCAGGCGCCGCAGGGCTTGGATCTCGAGCAGGCTGTTGACCTGCTCGACACTGGGGCGGGTGGGAAAGACGAAAGTGGAGAAGCAGGTCAGCCTCAGAACAAGGCTTATCAAATCTTAGCCATTATCTGTCATCAGAATTTGAAAATTTAGGGCCAGGGAGATGGCTCAGGGAATAAGCGCTTCCCTGGCAAGCGCAAGGGCCTGAGTCCAATCCCTGGCTCCACCAAAAAAAAAAAAAAAAAAAAAAAAGACTTTGAAAATTCACAAACTTTACTTTTATTTCTTTTTTGGTAGCAAGAATCCAACTCAGGACCTTTCACTTGCCAGGAAGTGCCCATGCCACTGAGCTATCTCCCCAGCCCGAAAATTCATAAACTGTAAACCAGTTGATTAGGCTTCATTTTTCCCACCAGAAATCGAGGTTAATCGCTATCTCTACATTATTTTACAAAAGCTGAGGTTCTATTTGCAGTGCTGAGGACTGAAGCCAGGGCCTTCGCACTTAGCTACATTCCTGGCCATTTCTTGTATTTTTTATTCTAAGACAGGATCTCCCTGAGTCCCTAATTTGCCTATGCTGGGCTTGACTTGAGGTCTTCCTGCCTCAGCCTTCTTGAGTGCTGGGATTATCAGTGCATGTCACCACAAGCAGCTAAAATATGCTTAGAAATTACAACACACCTTAAAATTTTCCCCACTTAAGAATATGAAACCATCTTTGATAGTTTATTTCACATATTGAGAAACACAGATACTAAGATGCCTGATTAAACTTAGCAGTAAGATTAATCATTAAGACCATGAATGAGACGATATCCATTGGGAACTGAACACTTGAGCAACGCTCACCTGGCCTGACCCCAGCATCTGGCCCCAGGAACAAAGCTGCCCCACTCGAACGCTCCACTTCGGGAGCTCAGGGCAGGCCTTCCAGGAGAAGGCTCCTGGGGCCGGGCCTTCTCTTCCTCCCTTTTTTGTAGAGGAACTTCGCACGCCTAACATCCTAGCACTTCAGGAAACCTGAAGTGACAGTGACGGAGGGTGACTCTGTGCTCACCTGCAAGCCTCCCATGCAACACAAGCCCCAGCCCCCAGGAGGCCATCCCCTATGACACCTAGAGCCCTCCAGTGCCCTGCGATGACTCATACTTCAAGAGACGTGACCACCAGATACTTGGGGGAGACATTTTTCCTTCAGAGGGTGGGATTCAGAATTCTGTCTTCTATTTATTTATTTTTTGGTCTGAGCAGGGTCGCAATCTAGCCCAGGCTGGCCTACAATCCAAAGTGATCCTCCTGCTTTAGCCTCCCAGACACTGGGATCACAGGCATGCACCAGCATGTCCAGCAGCAGGATTCTGTTCTTTTTGTTTTGGTTTTCTTGATACTGGAAATCAAACTCAGGATCTCATGCTTGCCAGGGAGGTGCTGTGCCACTGAGCTATATCCCCAGCCCCTATACTTTTTTTTTTTTTTTTTTTTGGGACCAGGGATTGAACTCAGGCCTTTGCGCTTGCCAAGGATGCACTTATTCCACTGAGCCATCTCCCTGGCCCCCGCCTATACTTTTAACATGCAGAGGCTTCAGTGATTTGTCAGGGTATCTAGAGCACAGTCTGGACACACTGCTGACCATTACTGCAGTTCTATTTGCAGTCCTCTCTGATGAAACTCAAGTACTAGTTCAGTAGTCGCAGACACTGTCCAAGAAAGCACCCAGCCTGGCTGAGTTCCTGCAGAGGCTGGGGAGCGCCCAGAAGGCGTCCTTGCTGCAGCTGCCTAGGGAGCAGACACCCAGCCTGGCAGAAGGAGGGCTGCAGGTCACCGTGGGAGGCGGATGGCAACCTCAGCGTCACCCACGATCGCCTGTGTTGGCCAGGGCTGGGCCAGGCTCAGGGGCTGGGGGCAGGCACTGGCGCCTGGGTGACCTCTACCTAGTAGGCATACCGGGCGGGAGGCGGCAGCTGCCAGGCCTCTAGACTGAGAGCCAGGTGACAGCCAGCACCCATCATGGCCAGGCTGTGGCGACAGGGCCGGCTAGGGATCTGCTCTGCTGTCATGCCAGTTGCAGTGCCTGGACCCAGGTCAGGAAGCCGAGACAGGATGCCCACAGTGCTACCCACTGCACAGCTGCCGAAGTCACCATGAGGAAACGTCACATTTGCGGAGCCTGGTAGCAGGCCCACTGCTCACCTGGAAAGCCACATTGTTAGAAGGGTGAGGACATCAGAAGGACAGACTGATTTAAGCCAGCATCCCCCGCTCTTGCCCCAGGGTCCTTCCGGTGCAATCGCTGCCCTCCTGTGGACTGGCCCAGACTGAGGCTGCAGACAGTGCTCCCAGGGCAGGGAGGAGGCGCACACTGCAAGCCAGAGCAGGGCGAAGCCCATAGCAAGCCCCCAGCTGACAGAAGCCTCTGTGACCGCCCCTGGGCTCCCGCTAGGTAGCGATCACCCAGGCTCCAGCGCCTGCCCCCAAGCCCGGTGACCACCATGCCTCTCTCTGCAGCACTCTGCAGGCCAGGGGTTCTCTCCGGGGCAGGACTCAGCTCTCCTGGGGACATGTAACAATCTCTGGAGACGGGTGGCTGCCACAAATGGGGGGTAGCGGCAACCTGAGGCAGAAGCCCACAGTGCAGAGCTGAGAGGATCTGGGCCACGGGGTCAACTGACCCCGCGGGAAGAGCCGGCCGGCCTACTCCTGGTCTCTCACACAGCCAGCCACATGGCCGTGTTGCTCTAAAAAATATCCACTCATGCCACAGTGATAGAAAACCAGGTACCAGGCCCAGCACATCTTTTGCCTATGCACACAGGACTCGTCCATGTTCCAAGCATTCTCTGAGGATGACAACTGACACACTGACTCTGACAGGCTCACTTGTCAGGCACACTGCCAGCCGCCAGCTGGGCACCTGCTCAAGTAACAGTGCGAGATCAAAGGCAACGAACTCAGCCTCTAGCAAACATGAAAAGAAAAAAATGAAAAAGCAGAGAAACAGCCTTCCTAGGCTTGGTGTCCACACTGGAATATAGCAATGTGAGGGGAGAACAAGGAGGGAGATGTGTCCCCATGACCCAAAAGGATCTGGAGTGAAAGCTGATGCCCACAGAGAGCGAGGAGAGAGACAGTAACACAGGTGAAGGAGGAGGCAGGCGGCACCTCTCCCTGAGCCCAGGCTCGCTGCATGGAAGAAACAGCTCAAACCTGCAGACCCACAGTGACTACTGCAACCTCAGAGGCCTCCACGGGAAGCGGACCGGTGGAATGGAGCAGTGGATATAGCAGGCTGCAGGCTCAGATGTTCCCAGGGGAGGGCAACAGGCCAGAAGCCATCCTGGAGAGCAACTGAACGAGCTCGGAACTCAGGGCGGCTGTGGCTCCACTGAGCAGCTCCCAGCTGAGTTCAAGCCGACAGGAGCCTTGCGGACTAATGCAGGCTGAATGGGTCTAGGCCAACCTCACGGCCAGAAAGCAGCCTGAACTGCAGTGGAAATAAAGGTGCAAGCTCGCTGGGATCAGCCACTGCCCAGCCGCAAAGCCACAGCTGGCTTGCTGGGATTAATCACCATGGACCTGAGCTGTTTGCCCACTTTGTCTACTGGTGATGGCAGAGACATGTGTTAAAATAAACATTTTTTTTCTTTCTTTTCCTATTTTTTGGTTTTTTTCTTCCTTGATCTTATTTATTTTTATGTATTTAGTACAGGGTCTACAGGGTCTCACTACACAGATCAGACTTGTGATCCTCCTGTTTTGCAGCCTCCCAAGTGCTGGGATTGCAGGCGTATGCCACCATGCCCAGACTCATTCATGGCTCAGCGTGCCCTGGGGGCAGGGCCTGCGTGGCAGGCTGGGTGGGGATCAAACCCCTGGTCCCTGGTCCCTGGTCCCTGTGTCTGCCTAAGTAGGTTTTGTTGTTGTTGTTGTTGTTGTTTTTGGCGGAACCGGGGATTGAACTCAGATCCTTGTGTTTGCCAAGCGCTTATCCTACTGAGCCATCTCCCCAGCCCCTAAGCAGGCTCTTTAATCCACTAAGCTATCTGGCCTGCCCTTGATCTTGTTTTTATATGAATGTAAATATGGTTTCTAGGGTTTTTTTTGGTGCTTTCTGTTCTGATTGTATTTTATTTTTTCCTTCTCTTTCCCTCCTGTCTTCTTCACCAGTTTCCCAAACTTTGCATTATCTCCTTTGTCCAGGCTTCCTTCTAACCTCATTCTCTTCTTTTATTTTTCTATCCCAACCCAAAGCAGGAGAGCTGCAAGTTTAAGGTCAGCCTGGGCTACAAGTAAGCTCAAGGCCAGCCTGAACTGTACTGTGAGACCCCGTCCCAAAAAGACTAAAAAAGCCAGGCATGGTGGCACACACCTGTAATCCCAGCACTTGTGAGGCTGAAGCAGGACAGTTGTACAAGACCAGCCTGGACTACAAAGTGAGCTCAGGGCCAGCCTAAACTGTATACCAAGACCCTGTCTCAAAAGGACAAAAAAAACAAGGGACCATGAAAAATCAATCAAGCACCTGCTAGATGATTTGAAGAACAATAACATAACTTTTTTTTTTTTTTTTTGCAGAACCAGGGATTGAACTCAGGCCCTTGCACTTGCCGGGGAGGCGCTTATTCCACTGAGTTATCTCCCCCGCCCTAAAAGGGCACAAGGATTTTTAAAAAAAAATTTTTGGTGGCCTCAGGATGCCTTCAGGGCAGGTTTGGTTTGGCTTGAGAATCTAGGGGTGGAACCACAGCGTCCTGAGCCTCACTGCTTTGTCTCAGCAGGCACTAAAACCACTGACCTCATGGGCAGGCTCTAAGAACATAACATTGATGGGAGCCAACGAAAGGCAAGAGATAGCATAAAAACCCTGCTCACAGAGGTAATGGCAGGAAATTCCCAAGCAGGAGAAAAGACTTTTTTTATTATTTTTTTATTTTAGGACAGGGACTATAGAGCCTCAGCGCGCTCCAGAGGTGGGGCCAGCACAGCACACCAGGGATCGAACCCCAGCTGCGGCGCTCTGCCCGAGCAGGCACTTTAGTCTGCTGAGAT